TCTGAGATTTATTTTGTTTGCATTTAACAACACAGTTAGGTTTTATTAAATGCAAATTGTTTGCAACAAAGAAAACCTTCACCGGAAGAGTTACTTGGTAAAACCAGATTTGCCTCCCACAGGGCAGCTGGCCCTTGTTTGAGATGGAGAAAACTCCTCCAGTCCTGGCGGGAATTATGCACAGGGAGAGTCTTCTCTCTCACTAGAAGCACTAATCTCCAGCAAAGGGGGTGCTGAAGGGGTGGGCCCAGAGCAGGAGACCCTGGTAACTGGTTGCTTTTTTCACAAAACGAAAGCTGGGACCGCAAACACTTTTCTACTGTTTTGTCCAACATCTCAAGTTGTGGGATTGTCCTGGAATACACTTATCTAGCAATGTCATTGTTAATTGAAGTCCAGAAAGTGCTCACTCTGTCGACTCTTTGGGACGAAAGGAAATCAATCTCTCTCTCTGCCTCCACTCCCCCTTCCAGGCCCCCTTTTCCCCCAATTCGGCAGAACCTAGTGTCTCCACAGAGAATTCAGTGTGTGGTTACCCTCAGGGCACACGGATGAAGGTTAGGGAAATGCCCAAACGCCAAGGGGCAGAGTCCGGGGCGGGCGGCAGAGGGGCGCAGGGAGGGAGGGGAAGGGACAAGTGGTCAGGCTTAGCTTCCTGGATAGGCGGCGCGCAGTTCCCCAGGCCTGGCGCTAGATGTCCCTGCAAGTTTTCCTGTTGCGTCTCAGGGCTCACGAACTTCAGGCAGGCAGCGTGTCAGAGTAGCCCTAGAATTCAGTGAGAAATTACCCCTCCACCCTCCACCCTCCACCCATAGCCGTTCCTGGAGGGGCAAGAGATTGCAGGGGGAAGAGAGAGAAGAAATAGAAACAGCCAGAGGACCTGGGAGAGACAGCTTGAGGCTGGCCTGCCAGGGATGGCAGCAAAAAGTTGCCAGTACGGAGTCTGGCCTGGAGTCCCCAGACCAGCGTCTTCCCTTATAAACCGAAACCTCCAAGCCGTGGGAATCGCACTTAGCCTAAAGAAAATGTACCTGGGTTTCACAGCCCAGGCTCTAGCTGTCCAGCTGGGCCACCACACCCAGCGGCCCAAGTCCTTGAGCGAACTTGCGTCCCAATGCCGGCCCGTGGGATTTTGGTCCCGTTTCCCCGAAGCCTTACGAGTGGAAAATGAGAGCCAAGCACCGGTGGACAGGGCGCCTCTTGCCTTCGGAGCCTGGACAAATTTTTATCTTCAGTGGAAGGCCAAAAATGGAGAACCCGCTACTGCTCAAAAAACAAATAGTTATTCTGAAAGCCTAACAACAACAACGAAAAAATTAGGCCTCTTTCATGTAATTCCTCCTTTTGAGCAAAAGGTGCTTCTTAGTCCATTTGGAGAAAGTCCTCCCTGAACCCTCGCCCTGCAATGGATCTTAAAAGTTCCTGTCCAACCATGCAGATGTTTGGTGGACACTTCTTTTGTTTTATTGTCCTGTACCTTGGTAGTGGGTGGGAGGCCTTGATGGCCCCAAAAGCTGTGTCTAAAGAATGAGGACATTTGACAGACCTGTTCCCACTTTCAGCATTACCTTCCTGGGAGAGGTACAAGGTTTGGGCATTTCAATAATAAACACGAACTGAACTGTGTTAATCTTCTTATTACCCTACATAGGCTCAATGTCTTCCAGGTAAGACTGAATTTAAAGAAGACATATGCAAAATCAGAAAGTCAAGTAAAAATGCTGCCCAAAGCTTTTAAATACCTTATAAATTGGATATGATCAGATAAATTTAAAACAGGAGCAAATCCTCTGACCTCTCTTTGTGGAAAGTTTCTCATGGCTGAGAAAGGGATAAATAAGACAATCAATTTCTAAAGTTGCCCATGAGCCTTAGGTGAGATAGTATATGTAAAAAGCACTTGCAATTTCAGAGTAAAAGCTATATATAAGTTGGCCAATACTGCTACTACTAGTAGGTGTGGAATCTAAATAATTAAAGGGCTTTAAATATTGTAATGGAACCTACACTGTTTCCCATGAAACATTGTCTGCTAAATGCAGTTTAGTGAAAAATAATAGGTGCCTTTTACTGTGAGTAGTTTCCTTGACAGTCTCGAAGATACCTTTCATAATAAACATGCTAGAATACAAAATATTCGTGTTATTTAAAAGGTGTAAAATAGTTTTCAAAACCACTAATGAATAAAGGTGTTGCCGAGAAATGATGTTTTCCCTTTTCAACGGCACAGGCTTTGGGACCCGAGGTGCGGGGTCCCAGAGAAAGGGAGGAAGTGGGAGACCCACTGACTGGATGTAGGAAGGAGTCGCCGTCAGCACCCTAGCCTCCAGCGGCGGCTTCTGTGATTGAAAACTGCTCAGTCGCCGAAACCGCGAGGAAAACAGACGGGGGCGCCAAACGACAGCAATAAAGACATCCGCGACTTCCGCCCAGGTCGCGCCTCGGCCAGAACCGCCCCCCATCCACCCCTGTCCCCGCCGCCAGGCCTCCCCCGCAACCCGATCCTAGACGAGATGTCTTATTCAGTCCCCAAAGACATTTGGGGGTACCCTTCCCAGGTTCCTGGGACAGCGACTCCCTTCCGCGGGGCATAGCCTGCTAGGGGTGGTGGAGCTGGGCTCCTGGACTCCAGAGCAGGGAGGGAGAGGTGGGGGCATCAGCGAGGCTGAGCTGACCGCATGAATGGCCAGAAAGACAGCCCGAGAAGGGCTTGTAGTACTCAGAGTTGGGTGGCCTTTGGGGCAGAGGCGGAGGTGGACTTTGTGTCAAGTCCTCCTCTTGGTTTTCGAAGCGCACCGCGTACCCCTTTTCACATCCCCAGCCACCACGTGCCTATCTAGCTTTTCATTTCTCACCTTGGGGGAGAACTCCGTTTACTACCTTAAAGAGGTGGAATTGATTTTCTAAGCAAAGCTCGCGTTGTTGAAATAAGTTGGCGCCGAGGGGAAATGGAGAGAAACTTTTGGCATTGACTGTGTATATAAATGTATATAAATATACTTCACACCTCGCCTCCCCTCACATTCCTGACGCGCCCCCAGCGGGTCCAAGGTTAAAAGGAAAGCGCCAACAGAGAGATGGACAAATAGATCCTGGGTTTGCCCCTAACACACCCTGATGTGCTGGGTGTGGCGGCAGGGAGGAAAGGGGGGGCTTAGGTTGGGGTATGGGTTGGTGCTGAGGCGGGATGCAGGACCCGCGCCCAGAGCCCAGATTGCCAGGGTCTCTCGGCCGCTTTGGAAGCTGTCAGGCCGCCCTACCTGTCCGGTCCCTATTCTCTCTTGTCCCCTGCGGTTGCCGCGGATCGCTCCCCTTGGCTGCTGGCTGGCGGACCTGCACAGTGCATTGAGGGTCAGGGTAGGGTGGGGCGCAAGCGCGGGAGGAGAAGCTCAACGGCCTTGAGTAAAGATTGATCTTCGTTAAAATGGTTGCCACCGGCGTCATTATGACCATCAAAATTATCGCCAAAAGGCTCAGCCGCCAAACTCAGGCTGTGATGAGCTGCAGCAAGACTGGTCGGAGACTCTCGGCGCCCGGACTGAGTGCGGGGAATACCCCGGGCCACAGGTAAGGGCTGGGGTGGGGGAAGGGAGGAAGGAGAGAAGCAGAGCTGAGTGGGGAAGGCAAGGCAGCGGGATGGTAAGAGAAGGAGGCTCTCTTCTTTCCCCTGATTGACCTCGAAATCATCCCCAAATCCGGCAACTTTGCCACAAAGAATTTGATTAGATTGGGCGGGGGGAGGGAAGGAAACCTGGCAACATAAAAAGTAGATTTGGGCGGCCCATATGGCGCTGTAAATCGCGACTGTGTTTAAAGTTAGCTGTCGAATTCTGCTATGAAATCGTCCAGCCGAGTTCATTTCCCCCAGGGAAAATGCGCAGGCGAGAAGCCTATCCATCAGCAAGATTATAAAAGTAAAAAACCCAGGACTTTAAGTTCAGAATTCACTCTGCAAACGGTGTTAAAAAATCGGAGAGGACCTAATGATTTCCGTTTGGAGGCGCGAGCCCAACGCACCTCCCCAGCCACGTAGCACTAAACTGCTTTCAAAAGTCTACAAGATCAAGACACCTCTCTCTCTCTCTCTCTCTTCCTCTCTCTCCTCTCTCTCTCTCTCTCTCTCTCTCTCCCCCCGCCCCCCACCCGGGCGGGAGAAAAACAGCCAGGATGAGGCGAAGTGGGTGAGAGAGACAAGTCGGCGTCCTATTTGTTAAATAAAATACACATTTGGTTCTGAAATTCAAAGATAAGTACTCCAGGCAGGAGCGCAAGGTCTCCTTATGCAACTCTCCGTACATCCTCCCCCTTGCACTCCTCACCCTCCTCCCGCTTGTAAATGTTTTTTTTTTTTTTTTAATCTTCCCGACGATCTACTTTGGAAAATCAAAGCATTATCTATTATTTAACACGTATCTGTGTCCGAGGAAAAATGAGGAAGGCGCCGCATGATTAGGACCTAAGGGGCAACCCAGCAAACTGAGAGCGTAATGATGCCCCTAAATGAAGGGGGAAATGTGCCGCGGAGCGCTCTATTAATCAGACTGTCAATTTCACCCCCGAGGCCAAACCCCCGGGCGAGCAGAACCGGCTCTAAGCGGGCAAAGGACCGGAGCCTTCCTCCTCACTTCTTGTCTCTTCTCGTCTCCTACCTGGATCTATTTGTCTGCTCCGAAGCCGCCTTCATTACCCACTGACAGGAACGTGTATTTATTTGCTTATAAACCTGTTACAATAAATGATTATTCGAACGGCGTCATTCGTACCTTAATGACGAGCGAGCGCTACTTTTTGATGAATGACATCTCGGGCTCGGAAGGATGTATGGGTCATTTTGACCAGTCATTCCCTCGCTCTGGCATCCCACAATTTTTCCGCCTCCCTCCAAAAGAGATAATAATATTTAGAGGCGCTCGCTGGGGCTGAATGAGAATTAGCCCTAGGCGCAGCCCATCATTAGGACGGGACAGCCGGGCCACTGTGACATTTTTTAGAAAGCTGAGATGATGGAAAGAATAAGAAAAGAGATGATTCTGATGGAGAGAGGGCTGCACAGCCCCACGGCCGGCAAGAGGTTCTCCAATTTGTCGGATTCGGCTGGCAATGCTGTACTCGAGGCCCTGGAAAATTCGCAGCACCCGGCTCGCCTCAGCCCGCGCCTGCCGTCCGCCCCCCTGCACAGCGCTCTGGGAGACCTCCCTGCCAAGGGCAAATTCGAAATAGACACTTTGTTCAACCTGCAGCACCCGGGCAGCGAAAGCACCGTCTCCTCCGAAATCGCCTCTGCCACGGAGGGCCGCAAAAAGCCTGGCCATTATTCGGAGACGACCGCCGAGGCGGACATGAACAGCGACGTGGAGGTGGGCTGCTCCGCGTTGCGCTCCCCCAGCGGCCTCGGCGCCGCGCAGCTCAAGGAAAACAATGGCAAAGGTAACCTCGCCGCCTGCGCCGCGCTCTCCAATCCCATCCTCCCTGTTTCTCTGCGGCCGCTGCCGGCCCTTCCCGGTGCTTTCGCCCCTCTCCAACCCTCCGCAAGCAAGTTGCAAAGAGCTGGCTCAGGCAGGGGTGGGACGCATGCAGGGGACTGTGCCCTCCATCTCGGATCATTGAGTCTCCCAGAGAGGTGCAGGCCTGGGTCTCCAGGCCCGTCCGCGGGCCGGCCTTCCCTCGCTCATGAGTCCGAGAAAATGTTTCTGCGCGCTTCTCTAAAAGCCGGTGCGAGTCAACCCGCCCCTTAGCCAGCTGCTGAGTCGCGCTTGGGGAAGAGTGCCCTGGTCAGCTGCTATGAACCCCGCTGCCTCGGAGCCCCTAAGGCCAAGTCGAGGGAGTGTTCTCTGTAAAGGAGCCTCTCCGGGAGCCTCTGGGAGACTTGCTTGGGTCAGCGGGAGAAAGAGTTGAAAAGTAGAGTCCACCCCCTAATGGTTCCCGGTTTGAGCGGCTTCTGGCTTTCGATCTTAAAATTTTAAACAAACTCAAAAGACTGTTCAAGAAAGGTTAGAAGCCATACAGAAAGCTGCCCTGTGGTCTCCAGACCATGGCAAATCCAGAGCTGACGAAACTGCGCTTACATGTAGGCATTTTCCCTTGGCTAATTTTCCTCCCAAGTTGAAATTTTCCAATGATTTTTTTAAAAAAAAAAACACCCCAATTGAGTTCCTATTATTTGGTTATGAAGTGCTCTCCAAACTTTATTGATTCCATTAACGGCAACAATTTGTAAGCATGACAGACCCCATCAATTCAGGCAGCGCCTCGCCTTCCTCTCCCGGCTGCCCCATCCGCTCACAGCCCTAGAGCAGGGATCTCGGCCCTACAGTGACTTAAGCGCTGCTGGCC